CCAGTAATAATGTGTCAAACTCATTAATAGCAAGAGTGGATAATTATTTATCCACTCTTAGTGCAAGTGTTACTCAGAAGTATTATTGTTTCACTTTATTGGGCTATTAGCACTTGGCAGTCTCACATCAGTTGGGTATGTCCATAGTCTACATACATTGTGTATAATGTACATGTACATTATATATATTTCATTTCTTTTCTCTTCAGTGGTGACATTCATGCTGTTTCATTATCAGAGAAGCTCATTGCACTTGTTTTGATGGTGTGGGTGTGGTCAGGTACGGGTACATTCCTGAAAGCGTGATCTCAACTCTGTGACAAATCTTGATGCAGCAAGAGGCAAGTACACTCAACAACTTCAGCCAATCAAGAGTTACATGGTAAAATAATTCTAATTTGTAATGAATGATAATTATTAGTATTATTTATAGAAAAGTGCAAAGATCAGTTCAGTATTATTTAGAAGAGTTACTGACTATTTGAAATATAATGTAAATAATGTTTTTGTTGTTGTTTATTGATGTTGTTGTTTATTATATCGGAGTTATAGGAGAGGTACGTGTTATTTAGTGCTGGGCGATAGTGCTACTATCATATCACGATTGATAGTTCTTAAAATTTTAACGATAGTGATACTATCACGATATTAACAATTAATTTTAATATATTTATTTAATGTAACAAAATAGGCAAAAGGATGAAAGGTAAATGAATATTTGAGGTTTTCAGCTAGAAGAACATTTTTGGATGTAGACAAGCTCTTTTTTTAGTACCTATATTCCCAGCAGTACTATAAATACACATTCAGAGGGAACTGATGCCACCGGTATACATAAATATTTCCTAGCTATTATTGGATAACAAAAGAAATTTGTGTTCCACCATGCCAAAGGATTATATATCTTATATATCTAAGCTAATAGGCTCTAATATCTTGAAATTTCTGCATGAGCCTTTTGGAGATTATTCAAGCACTCAGAAATTTTACCATCAACAGCAGGAAAACTAAAATACTTCCATACAACACTAGTAGCACCAGGTAAAGGCAATATTTCTGTTTCTTTTTGGAGCAGTACTGCTACTAATGATAACATCTTCCATTTTCACAGCTGAACTAACTCATTAAAGTAACCACATGTTTGATAATGCGCATGCGTACATGTACCACGTGTCAATCGTGATAGTGTTGATTCAACTATCACGATAGTGATAGTAGATTACTATCGCGACCATCGCATATATCGATACTATCGCCCAGCACTAATTGCTAGTGAGCGAGCCCAGTTATTTAATTTATTTCTTAGATAGCATTTTGTATTATGAACCGGAGTCATCAAGGTAGCTATAAGAAGACCGGTCCGTATTTTGAAGTGTCATTAAAGAAAACCGACTTTTATGAGGATGTTTTGTCTAAGGCGTCATCTACATTAGAACTGAAAAAGGATGTAAAATCATTGGTAATGT